TACCAACAACTTGAGAATTCAACATCAAATTTGTATTTCCATCGTAAAAGATAAATTGAAATCCAAACTTATCCAAACAAGATACTGAAATCAAATTCCTCCTAAAAGAAGGTACATAAAATGTATCTTTCAAAACAAGCTCAAAACCAGTTCCTAAAACTAAGCTAACATCTCCCACTAGCTCCACAATGACTTCAAGATCATTTCTGACTCTGAGTTTCCTTTCCCTCAAGTTTGGTATCCGCTGGTTTCTGAACCCATGTAAGGACATAGCAATATGGGTTGTAGAACTACTATCAAACCACAAAGAATTAATGGGAATATCAACTAAGTTAGACTCAAAATAGACAAAAGTTAAATGATTACCTCCATATTTGTTCTTGTTATCTAACCAAGCTTTGAAAGCATGACAATTAGTTTTCTTATGCCCAATATCCTTACACCAAAAGGATTTGTTAAAAGCGACAGGCTTAGAACCTCTTATATTATGGTGTTGACCATTATCTGGTTTCCTAAATTCAGGATATCTATGAGAAGTACTATGATTGTTTTTCTTATTTTTCGAAGAACTCTCACCAGAATGGGGTTTAGCATGAAAAGTTAGGAAGTCTAAATTACTTCTTTCCTTCTTGAGTTTCTCTTCTTCAGCTACACACTTGGCAATAGCAGTAAGATATTCTTTAGCATTCTCTTTTTCAGGCAGTCCATTTATCAAATGTTTAGAAATGGTTCTCTTCATAGCACACAATCTAACTTGGTCACTCCTCTCCCACTTAGCTAATTTTTCTTTCTCCTCAGGTGTACTCTGATAATTGATCACAGGTTTGGTTTCACGCAGTGTCATGTCAAGATCAGCAATCCCTAATGAAAACTCTAAGTCTTTCTTCCATTTAATAAAATTTGACTCATTCAGGATCTCAATAGAAGCAAAACAATTGTTCATAGAGAAGGTCACTATTGAGACAAAATAGGAATGCATAAGAACAAATAATAAAGGCAAGATATAACTTTAATGAACATAAGCTATCACGAAGAGGCCAACATTATCACACAATCCCCTTTGGATGGAATGCATAAAACCCTGGTTACAACCAAGGTCAAAACCTCAGATGAGTTACTCAATGAGCATACATCAGGTTCGAAAATCTATCTCCTTTGGGTAGATATATTCTCTAAACCAAAAAATCTCCAATAACCTCATCTATAAATTTTAAGAATAAGTTACTCAGTAAGCATACATTGAGTTTAAAAATTTATCTCCTTTAGGTAAATAAATCCATTGGACTCAAGCATCTTCAATAGCTATATTCTTAATCAACCAAAATTTCTACATACAACTGTCTATCTTTGGGAAGACAATCATAATAATGACTTAAAAACATTCCTCAAACTACAAAGAGATTTTTATAAATTAAAATGAGTGATCTCACTTTGTGGTAATCACACACAATTATTTATAAAATTTCTTGCATAAGAATCAAATTTCTCTTGTCAAAATTATGAATTAACCATAAATTTAAATAATATAGCATTCTCAATAAATTTTGTCTTCAACAGTATCAATTTCGATAATATAGAGATATTACATAGTATTTCAAAATATTTGACAAAACAAATGTATCACACATTTATATATTAACTAATATTGATTTAGTTAAATGTTCAAGATAATATAATTAAAAAATAATAATTTAATATATGATTTTATATATTATTAACATAAATAAACATTGTTTGTTAAAAATAAATAAGTGTTAGATAACTAAAATTTAATAATTAAAAAAATGTTTTCAAATTTAAATTTTTTTTGGGCTTGTTTTGTATGCAATTAGGTGGTCATTATGTATAAATAGAACAGAAAAGTCAGCACTTTGCTATCAACTTGAAAAAGGGAAACAAATTGAACAAATGAAGGGAAAACCAATCTAACAAAATTGACGGCCGCGTTATTGTTGTACCCTAACATTTTAGAAACCAACATACATAGGAAAGTGGATTACGCATAATTGTTCAAAATTATTTTTAAAGAATTATACACAATTAATTCAAGTAACAATGGGATATAGTGAAAAAAAAAAAATTAAAACGGAAGGAAAGCAATTAAATTGATAAAATTGTAACTCACAAGTATATATGTTAAATTATAATCATATATTAATGATAAATAATTGAGTTCTAAATCAAATAATTAAGCTCTGATACTAAATGTAAACGGAAATATTCAATTATCAATTATATGAAATTAGAACATCAATACTTACTTGTTGAAGGCAAGATTTAGAATCCTAAAAAGATGAATGATTAGATCTTCCTCTATATCTCACACTCCCGTTCACAACGCTCAATGGCGCAAGTTGTGGAGCCGTCAATTATGTTTCTGATTCTCTTGTGATTACGTAGAGGGCCTAGCCATATAATATATATAACCTTAGTCCTTATTCATTATGGACCCAAGGTTAAAGCTCACACTTTTACCCACATCAATCAAGTTTTAGATACTCAGCCTTTAGTTAAAAGAGATCACTTAACTAATAAAAGAGCTTATATATGCACCCCCGTCAGAATCATGATTAACCCGTTTTTCACAAACTAAATAACCATTGATTGTAGACCATAAAAAGTTAGACAAATATAACACATTGTACATGTTGTTGAAGTGGAAGAAAATAATACAAGTCACTTTGTTTACTTGATAAATCTAATTTTAATCTTCTATAAAGTAATTTTGAACATGCCAAGTTAATCATATGGAGAAAGTAGCTATTTGGTTTGATAAAGAGTTGCAAAGGGCGGTTGAAGACATCGTGGTTGATGGAGGTCTTTTCTTTGGGGACCTTCAATGGAGGGTGGCTTTATTTTCCTATTAAAGCTCGGGTTTTGGTTTGTACTCAGCAATAAAGGCTTCCTCAAACGCGTTTGTGGCTTCTAGGGCCCAATCTTGGGTGTTACAGAATCATATATTAAGAAGTAGTGATATATATGGTATGGACCTGTATTTCAAGAGAGATTTAGATGTTTTTAGTGTTGTAATTCCATATTTTTACCTTAGAAGTTTTACTAAAAAGGACATCGTGCCTCCTAAAGTACAATATGTTTTGGCGAGTTTCTTTTTTAGTAAAAGTGTTCAGGACATGGATGTAAAGTTTAATATGACCACAAGACAAAAAACCTACTTTGGTTGTTTATAAGCAGCACATGCTCAAGATTTTCTCCTTGCTATCCCTATTGACGGTCTAGGCAAACATATGTCTCCATAGAGTATCATATCATCCTTAAATACCGGCTTATGATTTCCTTATTTCCTGTTGATGAGGTTTACCCTATTTTTCGTAAGACGTTCTTTGATACATTTGGGGAACATGTTATTCATTGCAAGAAACTTCTAGGATTCATATACGGACATGACTTTGTCAGGGATGTCCTATTTGATATATTTAGGCATGCAGGGGTATCTGTGAAGAAAGATGCACATGTGAATTTCTTTACAGACCCATAGGAGGGGAGATCAACTCTTAAGTCAGTCGATGTTCTGGTGTATGGGTAGATAGGAGGAAAACATGCATGTGTCAACTTGATCGGAGTTTTCCAATTGGTGAGACTGAGGACTACAAGTTTTATTGTGAGACAAACAACTCTCAAGCCGCTTCAAGTAAAATGGCCAAGCATGAGAAAACGTGTTTCGACAATTAACATGTTTTCATACCATTTGACTTTGACGCCTTGGTTTTCTAGAATCAGAAGTAGTGGATCCTTTACAGAGAGTGCAAGAGGCTCATACATGACAATGTTATGTCACCTAGGACAACGAATTTGGTTTTTAACAGGATTAGTTTTGCCAACCAAAAAGAGGTAGTTGTGCAACTTCTTATCTATTAGCCTGCTATTTATATATAATCTTAATTATATATATATATATATATATATATATATATATATATATATATATATATATATATATATATATATATATATATGAAAAAAAATTGATTAATACTTATCTATTATTTCAAGAACAGTTTAAATGAGTTAACTACTGAGACATGAAAATAAAAGTACAGGAACATTCAAAACCGTGGATACATTAATATACAGAATTAAATATATATTAAAATGTTTTTGTAATTATTTTTATTACTAATATTAAAATAAAATGTTCTACTGTATAATAACTTAATTTTAATTATTTAGTTTTTTTATGATTTGAAATATATATTGTAAAAAAATTCTGTGAGATATTTTATTTTAATATTAGTAATATTTCTCAATTATATTTAAAAGTGAATTTATAAATTTATTATATTTTGATATAATAAAAACTATATTTGTTGAAATTCTAGTTACTGCTAAAACAAAAATATCTTATAGATATAGTTTTTATTATTTTAATACTAACCTTGTAAGAAAAAGTTTGATCATAAATAAAAGTTACTGTGATATTTAATTTACTGTAATATCTTATGATTGATATTAAAAGAGGGTGTCAGTCAAAGTCCAATGGAGATTTACTTACATATTATTGGCTATTGGCCTTTAGTGACATTTTCTTATAAGTCTTTTTTTTTTTTTTGTGTTATATTTTTTGCAATTGTATTTTTTTTCTTCTTTTTCTCTAATTTTAGACACAAATTGATAGGTTTTGTTTGCCTTCTGCTGTTCAAGCTTATGATCAACTTTGTTATACATTATTTTTTTAATTAGCTTACTGGATGATATAATTATAGTCTATCGCCAAGGATTCAAAAAAGTTAAAAATTGAACAACCAATTGAGGTAACAATCTGATAAGTAGAAGAGAAATATATTAGATTAATAAATAGTAAAGGTAGATATATTAACTAGGTTATTTACCGAACAATTGATGCATATGTATGTCCTAGCAAGCTCTCATCAAGAATCATTCAGAGTACAAACAACAACTAAAACCTTTTCCTTATTGCTTTTCTCAATTCAATCACAGTAAAAACTGAAATGATTAGAAAGAATAACTTATTTAAATTATCCTCAGAGTATCTTCCTATTTGGTACAGGGGAGGTTTCTGAAATTGCAGACTTAGAACGACAGGATCTGAAAGTACCAGTTTTCATAAACATCAAAACTGAGTTAGCAATATTCTTTACCTTAACAGCAACCCTTTTGATCTTAGGCCTTTTCGGCTCTACAAAATGATTCAGAGAAGATAGTTTATAAGTTGTGAGAAATATTTTCCTTTGTTTGGCTCTTCTTCGTCTGTAGCTGATAGATTTGAGAGTGGTTTCTTTCCCTTGTAGACTGACAAGTTCATATTTGTGTCTGCGGCTGAAGGTGAGAGTGGTGTTGCGAATAAGTGCGTTCATGGTTACACAAAGCAACTGAATCTGAAAAGAAAACAGAAGTTTTATGCTTTAGAGGCTGTTTTCCACATTATAAAGTAAGCATGTTTTATGGGTTCTTTATATGTTGTTTCCACCTATCTTCTAAACTTTCTGTATTTTTGTGTTGTCGTATAGACAGGTGTAATAGAGTGTTTGACCAATCTTTCATTGTCCCTTCATCCTAAATTATAAAAAGTTCTAGTAATTTGAGACGAATTAAAAAATATAATTATTATTTTATAGAAAAATGAAATGCTCTGTAATTTTATAAAAACATTTTTTATTAATTATATTAGAAGACGTACTAAAAAAAATAATAAATGATAAAAAATATATTAAAAAAAGTCACTAATTTTGTATTAAAATTTTAAAGTAATTTATAATTTAAAACAAATATTTTTTTATATAATAATTTATAATTTAAAATAGAGGCAGTACTTTCCTAATTGATGGGCTCACCTACCATACTCAAATTTAATACTATATTAGTCTGTCTACCTGACCACTTTGTAGATTTATGAATAATTGAAAAAAGAGAGATCTATAACTTCATAATCACAAGATGGTCACACAGACTTACTAGCATATTAGATCAAGGTGATTAAATGTTTGAAGATCCTAAAATGATAAGGAAAACTAGATCCTTTGGCGCATGCCCTGAGAAAATTATTCTAAAGAATATTTTATGACCTTTAAATTTTAGAATTGGACTACTAAGTATAGAGAGAGAGAGAGCGCGCAATATAGTTTCAGGAATACAATATTCTAAACCATAAGTCTCATCCTTACAATTGTCATTGATTGATCATTAGAATATTTGAAAGACCGCAATAATCACATATGAAAACTTGAATAGGATGTCGTATAATGATGGAAGTTTCTAGTTTCTTGGTGAGAGTTTAATTTGGGAACTCGTTATCTTTTCATGTGGCGAGAACGTGTCATGAACGTAAGGTTGTAATATTTCTTCTTGACTAGAGAGGAAAAAAATTCGTATTCGTAGATATCCGCAGATAAAATTCGTCACGAATATGAGACAGATAATTTAATGAATATTTACGGATAAAATAAATGAATATTTAAATACTCATTTATAAATGGTTATGAATACGAATTTAATAATATTCGTGCCTACGAATATTCATATCTATTAGTAAATTATAAAAATTATTTAAATATTATTAATTTATTATACTTTATTTTTTTATCTTCTAAAAAAATTAGTCTTCTTTTATATCTTTTTTTTCTTCTGAAATTTTCTTTGAAGAAAATCTTTCACATTTCATTCAAATTCGATTAGCCATTTCATATTTAAACTCTTCATTACTTCATATCTCACTTCAACAATTTTATAGTCCAACCAACTAGTGTCGTCGTTCCTCTGTCAAATCAGTGTCTCCCTTCCTACTCCTCTATTGTCCACTCTTCTATATAAACTCACAATCACAACATATTTTATTTGTTTGGTTAAAAATGAAATGTATGGATATTATGCTTGGATCTAATTATGTTTTGATGAATAAGAAGAAAATTAATTCAATTAAAATTTTATTGTTAAATTAAGAGCGAATTTTATCCATGTTATGTGATAATAATTTTTTGTGTCTTTAAAAGAAGTTAAAACTATGTTTTTCAAAAAAATAATTTTCATGAAAAAAATGTTATTCATGGATATTTGTAAATATCCGCGGATATCGTAAAACCCGCGGATTATCCGCTTAACGGATATCCGCATGGATATGAGACGTGTCATACCTGAAGGTGAGAAAATACTTAGAAGGGGGTTGAATAAGTATGTAGAAAAACTTAGAAATAAAAACTCAAGGATTTTTATCCTGGTTCGTTGAACTCAACTACTCCAGTCTACCCTATCAAGAGTGATTTGCCTTTCTCAAACAAGGACTTAATCCACTATTAAATCAACTGATTACAATAGTAAGCACTAAGAATAACTGTTCAAAGTCTTCTCAAGAACTACTGGTCCTAACTGGATCTTCTTAAGGTTCTTTTACAATCAAATGTAATAATAATACAAGTGTTTAAATTGTTTCTAATAAAGCTTTATCACAACTGCGATTTTTTACTTAAGATTTAAGAACAATGAAATAAATTCAGCAAATGAGTATAAGTTGTATGAGAGCTTGTAATGAATTCTTTCAATGTTTCGTCAACTGAAGAAGATGAATGAAGTCTTCCTTTTATAGGCAAAGAGATCCAAGTAGCTATCACGTTGAAGGTTGTGTACTAAAAGGTCTGAGCCTTTTTGTCTTCACATTACATGACCTTTCCTAGAAGTAGAATGCACAGAGAAATCCTTTTTGTCTGTGTTCTTGTGTCTAGCATAAATGAGGAAAGAGTCGTTTGGCCATTCCAACAGACATAAATTTGAGTTCTTCTTCAACAAGTTTCAGCAAAGTATCATCAGAGTCTTGAGCAGTCAGAGCCTTCTGATGTTCATTAGAGTTTGTTGAATCAGAGTCTTTGCAGCATGTGTGCTTTCAGCGTGTATTTGTTCAGAGTAGAGTTTGGAATCAGATCCTCAGTACTGACAGCGTTAGTACTATCAGAGTCTTCTGAAATAAACTAAGCTTGAAACTCTTCATACATAATTCTTCAATGCTTCAGATGCTTCTGGCTTCTGCTTCAGATTCTTCTGTAGCTTCTGCTTCAGATCCTTTTGTAGACAGCGCTCAGAATCTTCTGTAGGCAGCGTTCAAAATCTTCTAACAGATGCTTCTGACGCTTCAGAGCCTTGCATATTTTTCATGTTCAGATCTAATTTGCTTCCAGAGTAATATTTACTTTAATATCTGCAGCAAACATTCTCAAACAAATTTTAGAGTATATAATTCTTTAATACAAAATTTCATAAGAGTTATCATCAAAACATAGAGATACTATTAAAACCAATCTGTGTTCTAACAATCTCCCCCTTTTTGATGATGACAAAAACATAAGAAATTTTGTTCAATTGAAAAATATAATTATAACTCCCCCTGAGATGATGAATCTCCCCCTGAATTGAATACTTAGAAGGAATAGAAACTTCCCTTTTTGCATGAGTATTCTTTTCTGAATCAGAGCCTGATTGTTCCAAAAATTAGATCTTGACTTTGGATGCATGTTTCAGAATCAGAGTCTGATAGGTTAAATATGATCTGGGAGTCTCAGAGTTATTTTTAAAGAATTTGTCAGATTTATCAAATGTTCTAAAACACTAAGAGTTTACGTTAATTATAATTGATATGTCTGAAATTTTCATTTAGGTAGAGTTTATTTGAACAGTCAGATCCATTTTCTCCCCCTTTTTGTCATAATCAAAAAGTAAAACTTTTAAAAGACAAATAAAAGGAAATACAGAAAAGATAAATCATGTAGAGAAAACAACAGAGTCATTCATTCATTCAGAGCAAAAAACAGACAAATCATCAGATAAAATCAAGTACATGTGCACAAACATCGATACAAAAAAATATAAACTAGGTTTTCTTGGACAGAATCATCTTCAACAGGTGAGTGATCTCAGATGAAGACTCTTCTTGCTTTGTCATCCACTTAGCCATGTTCTCATTCTTCTGATCTTGTTTGGACATCCATTGTGCCATGTCTTCAGATTTCTGGTCTTGCTTGGCCATCCATGACTTAATCTCAGATTGTCCAACTTCCAAAACTGCAATCTTATCTTCCAAATCTGGATTCTCTTTCTTGATCTCAGATGAAGAAGGCGGGGCAGATTCTGAAGTAGGAACAAAGTCAATTTCCATAGGAGATGCAGAGTCATGAGCAATAGATCCAGAGTTATTATCCACAATTGTCAGAGCTAGTGGATTTTCTTCAAAAGCAGATTCTGTAGAAGCTTCTGTAGCAGATACTTTAGAAGATGAGGGCACATCTTCAAGAAGCAAAGGTGCAGATCTTTTCACATTCCACATTATGCTTCTGGCAGTTTCAGCAAATCTGAGCTTCGCATCATCAGAATATACATTCTTCAGATTTGAGGCTACAGTATTGAATCTGTTGATGAAGCTATTCTAGATAGCATCAGATTCATTTGCATCCATGGTTGACAAACATCTCTTTTGAACAGAGCCTAAATGCATCTTTATTTCTTTCATAAAATTTGCAAATAAATTATCAGCATTTAGCCTAGCTTTTGGTTTCAGAAGGGTTTCCAAGGTGAATGGCTTGGGTTGAGGTGGAGGTGAAATGGTGAATTCTGGAATGATGATCAGAGGATGAGGGTAGAAAGGAATGGATGGAGAGTCAGATGAAGTGATAGGTTTTGATCTGATTAATGCATTAATCAGAAATGGTTTTGCATTTGATGCATAGGAAACAACATCAAATGAGGTGGAAGTGTAAGGAATGAAAGCAGATTTATCAGACAAGAGGGGTTCTGATGAAATCATTTCTGGCAGTTCTTTTATATATGTTTGGAGAACATATGGTAGAATGATGGAAAGCTTAGGTTTAAAAGGGGTGATAGAGTCAGATGGTTCAATTCTGTCATAGAAATTTTTAAACTTGAAAATAGAAGGAAGTGGATGAGAGGGGAATGGTTTAAAAGAAGCAAAGGATACAAACTCAGATCTCTTTGGCTTAGGTTTTGGAATGGTTTTGGGAATGAGAGTTTCAGATGAAACAGGTGGTTCTGGTTGGTTAGATTCAAATACTCTGAGAGAGGGAGGTGAAATAAAATCTGGATGGATATCAGATTCTGAGGAATCAGATGAGGTGGTTGGGGTACAAGATGTAGAAGAAACTTCAAATACAGTCTTGAGAGGTGTAATGTTTAGAACCTCAGTCTCAGGTATATTTGTTTCAGGAGGATTGAATGGTTCTGGTTGAATCTCAGAAGGTTTGGATGGAGGTGGTTCAGATACAAGTGGTTCAGATGCAACAGTTTCAGGTTCAATAGTTTCAGGTGTAACTGTTTCAGATATAACAGTTTCAGGTGCAACTGGATCAGATTGTATGGGTTC